TCCAACATTAACTAATAGGAAAGGAAAGAAGGATAGGAAAGGATGAGTGATAACTAGAATAAGTAGTAAACTTCACTTACATTAGAAGATTGAGTTCATATTCATAATAAAACATGAGCAATCACATCACTAAATGCAAGATTTGCATTTTGGGATGAAGTCTGAATACAAAAGTGGTTGTGAAGCTTTATTCCAATACATGAATTGTATATAATGTTTGTGATTCTGTTATCTAATAGAGCTTCTAGTATGTTGAGCAGTAGTTGTCTATTATTAACCTGAAAAAATGGGAACTAATTTTACCGCCAAATTGTACTTCAAGGATGAACAGTGTGAGGAAGACAAGACCACATAATGAGGACAATATTTTGAAAGTGTCAACTTCCTAATGACTTATAAACATAAAATAGATGAATGAATATATTTATTGCATATATATGTATGTGTGTGTGTGTGTGTGTGTGTGTGTGTGTATGTGTGTGTGTATGTGTGTGTGTGTGTGTGTGTGTGTGTGTGTGTGTGTGTGTGTGTGTGTGTGTGTGTGAGAGTGTGTGAGTGTGTGTGTGTGAGTGTGTGATTGAGTTTGTATGAAATGGGGCTGACGAAGAGGAGATTGATTGTTTTACAGCATGTAATTTATTGGTGAGAAGATGACTAGAAAGACTGCCAGTGGGCAAAAAGGAAAGTCTTAAAGTGGTGGTACAAATCTGTGGGTTGGTATGATGTGGACATAGTGGTGGAACATGCTTGAGAATCTGCCTGTTCATTGCCAGGGATTCCGACATGGCTGGAATCTTACAGATTATTTGCGTTTTAAGGTGAAAAGGAACGCATATAGTTCTATAGTAAGGACACTGGACTCAGGAGAGAGAGGGTACTTGAATGTGCAAGATGGCAAGACTACTGCAAAACCAGCACCGGACAGGGAGAGCCATCTGTGTAAACATAGGTGCTGGAGTAATGAGTGGAGACATGTTTAATGAAATGAGTAGAAGGACAGAAGGGGAAAATGTTTGATTTTAGTGGGCCAGGGAAAACAGAGTAACAAATGGTCAGAAAAGTGAAGAGGTTGGAGATGGGGGAAAGGGGGAATGGGAAAGGAGAGTATCCATGTGAATGGAAAATGGAGCAGGTAAATGTGGAGAAGAAAAAATAGAAAGAAGAGATTGAGAGATAGGTGAGAGAAATTTGGTGAAAGTGAGCATAGCATGTGGGGGTGGGGGTGGGGGGGGAGTGGCATGCTGACTCAGAATGCAAGCCCTCATTAGGAGAGGAACGGAAGCCACCCAGGACCAAGGGAAGACCACAGTGGTGAATTGTAATCAAGGTGGGCAAGAAGAGAATGAGAGGTAGAAGAGTTGTTATGGCATTCCTAATCAAGAATGGAGAGGATCAGGGTATCAAGAACATGGAGGAGAGTTTTGCAGTTTGAACCCCAGGATATATGGGAGGGTCAAGAGGTAGTGGCAAGCTTTGTTTTTATGGAGGAAGATTAAAGTTTCGCCAAGCAGTTAGATTTAAAAAATGGAATGGTTATTTTTAGCAGAGCACCATATAAGAGTCGGGGTTGGGAACCTACATGCGAGAGAAAAGGATGGATATGGATTTTGAGGTAAAAAAGCAAAAGCCATGTTTTAGTGGCCCAAGAAGATCCTAATGATATTACCAACTGGAGGAGTTGGAAGAGAGCAGGTATGCATGGGCCATGGATAGTTAAATCATACACATTTAAGGATGACTGGGCCCTTAGCAGTAGAACTCAAACAATGCCATTGACAGCAAGAAAAAATAAGGTGGTGATGAGCACACTGTCTTGCAGGAAACCTTCAAACTGTGAAAAAGTTGATGATGTGGAAGAGACAATTTTGACCCGGAAAGTGCATTAGGAGAGAAAGGAATTGGTACAGGAGGATGTGCAAGAAAAGTCTCTTGAAGGCAGACAATAGAATATAATAAAGAATATGACAAAGATCAGGTCTAGGACAACGGAATCTGCGGATATTCCATTACAGAAGAGGTATTACAAAATAATCTTTTCAACACAGATCTCACACCTTAGGAAATGGATAGTAAAAGTTGGCAAAGAGAAAGAAAAGGAACGGGGAAAAAGAAAAGACCCTGCATAATTAGTTGTCGAGGGCTGAGACCCAAGGAAAGGGTATTCCCTAGGACATGTGTTGTCCTAAGGAACAAAGTCAGTCTTTCATCTTTTCAACATGAATCTCACACCTAAGGAAATGAATAGTATAAGTTGGAGAAGAGAAGGAAAAGGAAAAGGGGAGAAGAAAATACCTCGCAGGAAAGGGTGTTCCCTAGGACATGTGTTACCTTAGGGAACACCCAATATGTATAAGAAAATGATGGAATCCATTTTAATTAAGAAAATACCTAATTTTAATTTCAGTGCTGGCCAATGGCTCATGATGACCTTATGTTTTCATTGATAGGTAAAGGTTCCCCAGGATTGTTGAATCTAGACCCAAGAGCCTATGGCCTTTCTTGTTTACTACATATGTTAGTCAAAATTTATTTTGTTTATCCATTTCTGTTTCACTCCATCTCAAAATGTCACATTTTTATTCTGTTGAAATTGGACAGTGTTTCATTTTACACTCATACATATATAGCATTTAAAGATTTTGTTTACTGAATAAATAGAAAAAATGCATCAAGCTGTCATGCTTCAGCTATACCTCTATAATGAAATGTACAATAACCAGACTCATTATAGTAAGTGGTGATGATGAAAAGTTACTAAGAATTAGTCTCATTGGCAACTAGTGGTCAAGATACCCTATACTAGGCAAAAGTATAGCCTAATCTTAGGAAGGGAGGGAGGCACCTATTGGAAAATAGGTTAGGTTCCTAAAGCTTTCAAAGAGATGGCCTATAATGTTTAGTCAACCTTAGGGACCAGTATATACAAGCCACAAAATGTGTAATTAAAAATTTATGTCCACTGAACAACAAATACCTATTGGCAACTCGATCAAAACCTGGAAAAAGCTTGTCATGAATCCAAGGAAACCACCCAGAGAAAAAGGATTGAATATTTTGGTGATCTAAAAGTTGACAATCTTAAGAGATAAAGAAAAAAAGAAAGAATTTTGATGGATCTATCAGTTATGGTGAAAGGGAAGGAATTGGATAACAATTTTGCTTTTCTGCCAAATCTTTAGTGCAGGTGCCAGGTGTAAACACTCACATTGCTCAGTTTAAAATCTCTCCTTTCTTTTATCCAAAGGCCCCAGGAAGATGATGCATTAACTGTAGTATTGTTTCATGAACTGTCTCTGTACACAGACGGCTCTGCATGTGCTTACCACAAAGGAGTCAGTTAGTAGACCTTGTGACTCGCCTGATTTATACTAATGCTATCAATATTGATGCCCTTATTTTTATTATAGACTTAATTATTATAGTGTTATTGACATTACAAACAGCAACAATAGATACCAAAAAATATTTTCAACAATCAAGGAAAAGGGTAAACGGTGAGACATGTGCTACTTGTAATTGGCTCATTGGTGATCTAGTACTTGTGGAGCCATCTAAGTGTAAAAATAATCTCCAGCAGCTTGGGATTAATTCTTTATCATTAATGGTCTGTTATTTGTTCTTGAACTTCAATCAGTATTGGTCAATTATACAGAGATTAATAAAAGTATTTATATATATTTGTACAAACAATAGCAAAGTGAAAAAAGTAAACAATGTTTTTGTTTATCATATATCAGTTGTGCTTACCTTGAAATTATGTATTTAAGGAACTATAAGCCTACCTTGGGAGGCACATTTTAATATCATATATTTGATTTCTCCACAAAATGGACTAAAGTACATTTTCTGAGATATCTGATCTTGTTCAGGTTGGATATTTTACAGATCTTCAGAAAAACATTTTTAATGTAGAGATATGTGCATAGATACTTTGTACACATGATAGAGAGAGACAGACAGATTGAGAGAGAGAGAGAGAGAGAGAGAGAGAGAGAGAGAGAGAGAGAGAGAGAGAGAGAGAGAGAGAGAGAGAGAGAGAGAGAGAGAGAGAGAGAGAGCATGCACTTCTGTGAGAGAGTGACAGGCAGAGAGAGAGAGAGTGAGAGTGAGTGACAGGCAGAGAGAGAGTGAGAGTGAGTGACAGGCAGAGAGAGAGAGAGAGAGAGAGAGAGAGAGAGAGAGAGAGAGAGAGAGAGAGAGAGAGAGAGAGAGAGAGAGAGAGAGAGAGAGAGAGAGAGAGAGCGAGCATGCACTTCTGTAAGCAAGTATTACAAGTTCATATATATGCAAGCATCCATGTGCTTGAGTGTGCACATGTTTGTGTGTGTACTTGTGCGTGTGTGTGTGTGTGCAATGATGATGGATTATAAAATGGATGATTAATGATGATGATGATGATGATGATGATGATGATGATGATGATGATGATGATGATGATGATGATGATGATGATGATAATGATAATGATAATGATAATGATAATGATAATGATAATGATAATGATAATTGATGGTGATGGTGATAATGGTGATGGTGATGATGATGATGATGATGATGATGATGATGATGATGATGATGATGATGATGATGATGATGATGATGATGATGATGATGATGAGTATAACTGGTCAGAAAAAATGCAAACATATATATATATATATATATATATATATATATATATATATATATATAAATTTAAAAGCATAGGACAATTTTCAAGTACTAATGGTACTTAAAATTGCAGGACAATCTTAAGTCTAAAGTAACAGAAGTACTCTGCTGGTACTTAGCTGATTTCACCAATGGAATATGTTTTTTAAGGCATGCCACATATGAATTTCTCTGGAGGTATCATTAACAAAATCAAAAATGCTACACTTACATACTGCTTTCACATATGTCAGTGATTTGAAAGAAATGGATTAAAGTTAGCTGTTCATCAGACAATTTTATCTGAGAGGACCTTTACTACTGCCCATTGTATATTTAGGAACATTGTCTTTTTGTAGGACACTTTGGGTGGCACATCTATAGATTTATATAAATATAGCAAAAAGTACCTATTCTGCACATATATTCACTTATAAAAACAATGTTTAACAATATCTACTGTGAACAAAAAAACTACCTTGTAACAATATAAAAGATAGGAAATCCATTGATATTCAACTTAACATGACTAGTCAGATACATTTAACTCTGTATCTCCTCAGATACATTGATCTCACATACTTGATTCTTTGATCTGTTTAGGACCATTGTCTGGACTACATGGGGAGAGACCACCTGAGAGCCTAAAACCGTAAGGGCTTGTGCAGAATCTGAGAAGCTTTCATCTGATACTATCAAAATGTTGGTTCTACTTCCTGAGTCATTCTGTGTATCTCCAGCAACAGAATCATCTCGGGGAACCCATATTTTGATGGCAGATGACTGATGAATGCTATCACTTAAAACTTCATTGCTGTTATCAGATGCCTCATTAATAATCATAACAGTTTCATGAAGCTGTGTTGATAAAATATCAGCCTGATTTTCTTTGGTCATCACAACTGAGTTACTGACTCTTGTATTGACACCATTCTGTAACAAGGACTCCACATCAATGGACTGAGGAACATCTGACTCAGAAGTAATATGGTTAGTCAAATTGCTTATTACAGCACCATTTCCACTTGGATCTGCATTTGAAGCCAAAAGAGGGTAGTTCAGCTCAATATGGTTTGTGGTGTCAGCTGATAACTGAATGGCTGGGCTTTCCTCTTGCCCGATTTCTCTCACAAACTGAACCACAGGAACCATATCTTGATTAATGTCACCAGTCATGTCTTCTTCCTTTTCAACTGATTTTTCACTTATATCATCAGACAAAGAGATGGATGCTACTTCCTGAATATCTGAATCTCCCAAACTTCTTATCACCTTAGCATTAGTACTGACAGAAGCTTTGCTGTCTTCAGGCACCTCAAAATATATTTCCGGAAGATGAACAACCTCACCATGACTCTTGAGCATATGCCTTTCATAACTCTCCTTGATGCGGAATTCCTTGGAACAATGGCTGCATTTCAAGGGCTTTAGTCCTGTATGCACCCACTTATGTTTCAAGAGGCCTTCCTTAGTTTTAAAATTTTCCTTGCATATCACACATGTGAAAGGTCGCTCATTGGAATGTACCCTCTGGTGGCTGATCATATTGCTGTATTGATTGAAGCGACGATCACATAGCTGTTGGGTACAGAATTTGGAAATAAAATGAAGTCTACATGAAGGATTAAAACATATTCATATCTTTACAATCAGTAGAGATAATAAGGGATCTGCTTTAGCCTATTCTGCTTTATAAAGAATGATATATATGTAAATATATTACA